CTAACGACCTGACAGTCTCATCCGTCATTTCGTTTTGTTCAGTTTCACTGTATGGTTAAATTGTAGTTTCGAACTTAAAATAAATCCATGCACCTTCAATCCTAAAAACACTCTGCACACATGTAGTTGAACAATATTTGTACAACGCCTTTTGGATACACGGCATTATGCGCCCACGGACTCTGGCAGGAACATGTACAGCGACCCTGCACGTGCATGCTGGTGATAGCTTGCTCTTCTTGTCGGCTCTACCGAATGTTTTAACACGTCACTCTTGTTACAGACGGAGAGTTCGAGATTCCGGAGAGGCTTGCGCTGACCCTCCACTGTCCGCAGCCAGCCGATCCTGTCTATGATTCCGATGTGGATATCGGGGAGAACAAGATCGCGGTGCTGGAGGAATGTGCAGACAGGGGTGACGGCGAGCAGGTGGGACTAGTGGTGAGCGGCTGCTTTTCGCTCCACAGCGCGGAGGGCGACGCGGGTAGTGACGGGGGACATGAGGATGACGGGGCCCTGGAGCAGCACCCCCAGGACGGCGGACAGGAGGCGGCCAAGGACAGATCCGGCTCCGGTGACCAGGAGGAATCCGACAGTGGAAAGCGGGTAGTTAGAGTGCGGAAGAGGCGTAACCAGAGCGGCAAAAAGACGTACAAGTGTAGGGAATGCGGGAAGCGTTATAGCTACAAAGATAGCCTTGATTACCACGTCAAGACCCACACAGGCGAGAAACCTTTTGAATGTGACGTTTGTAACAAACGTTTTATCATGAAAGCCAGTCTTGCTCTCCACGTCAGGACCCACACCGGCGAGAAACCATATGAATGCGACGATTGTAACATGCGTTTCAGCAGGAAGGACCACCTTAGTTACCATATTAGGACTCACACAGGCGAGAAACCATATGGCTGTAACATTTGTAAACATTGCTTTAGTAACAAATCAAATCTCCTTCGTCACAAGAAAACACACCGTAATGCTGCGGACCTCTGAATATGTGATTAACTATTAGTAGCCATAGATAAAACTGACTTTTGCTTAGGCAGGGTATTTGTTGTATGGTTGAAAGTTTCACGTATGGTTAATGTAGGCTGAAGGCCGATGAAAAACTGACGACTCGACTGCCTCGTCTGTCATGTTGATTTTGTATTGAGTTCCTTTATTTAATTTACTGGTAATTAAGCGAATAAAAATAAAGCATTGCACCTATCACTATTCTTCCTTGCTAAATACATGCTGCCCAAATATTCTTCAACAATAGTCGTGCAGTCGAGGGGTGTGGAACTGGTCAGAAAAGTGTACTCATGATTGTGTCTAGACAATCATTGTTTCAGATTGTGTGTGATTGTTTCTGATTGTGTCGATGATTGTCTCTGATTGTTTCAGACTGTTGGGTCAATATTGGGACATAATTGTAAAATTGTGTCATGATTGTGTGTGATTGTTTTGGATTGTGTGTGATTGTTGCAGATTGTCTATGATTGTTTGTGATTGTTTCAGATGGTTGAATAATGATTGTGATATATTTTGCAACCTTGCAACATGGCGTCGGATTATGACCTGATTGTGTGTGATTGTTTCGTGATTGTGTTTGATTGTTTCGGGTTGTGTGTGATTTTTTTTGGATTGTGTGTCATTGTTTACGATTGTGTGTGATTGTTTGTGATTGTGTGTGATTGTTTCATGATTGTTTCTGATTGTTTTTCTCGATGTACACATATTGTGTCCAGTTCCACACCCCTCGCGTGCATTGTATCTCCCGTATGGCCTGTAAAAGCACAATTTCGTCATATGTTTGTTATTCGTGGTTGTGCAATGCCCATTGTATGCATGATCATGCTCTAGTATCACTCGGGTTTAAGGCAATAAGGTGAATAGGGCAGGGGTCGCAGACTCGCGGCTCCCGAGCCAGGCGCGGCTCGCCTAGCTCGGTAGTGCGGCTCGCCTAGCTCGGTAGTGCGGCTCGCCGAGAGCTGCTCACGTCTTGCGTTCGGCTGGAACCGAGGTTCCCGAGAGCCGCGCTCTGGTTGGCCTAGTGTGCGTCTGTCTCTATCGCACTCATTGAGTGCCAGTATGACGGACAAGGACAGACACGCAGGCCGGCGGACGACACCACTAGCTCTATCTCTCTCACTCTATTGCCGAAGAGCTCGTGGAACGTGTGGCCTATGCTTCACGCGCTACGCTCTTACAGGCAGGAGAATTCGAATTGACGCACCGGACAAAGTGGACTGAAATCTAGAGACCAAAGGGGATTTTTTGAGACCAAAATATTTTTTTCCAATTTATGAGCCCGCTACACTAGGATGCCCCCTTAAAACTCAGGGAAATTCGGCGAGAAATGGTCTGGAAATCAGGGAAAACTCAGGGAAAATGGAAATGAAAATTTTGTGGCAACCATGAAACATGCGCGTTGGCATTTAGGCAAGATGTGCACAAAAATTCATGTCAAAATCAATAAATTTGTTCTTTTAAAGGGCCCTCACACGAGTGTGAGGATTACCAGGTATTACCAGTGATTACTAAGTCTGTGTACACCCGATTACCACAGTTGGGCACCCCTCGCCCTTTACACTGATATATAAAGTGTGCAACTGACACACACTTTAAGGTGTTTAACACCGTGTGGCACACTTCTATGTGTGCAACATGAGTTTTGAATAGTTGGAAGTGTTAAACAGGTGTGTTGCACACTTTTTAGTGTTCAACTTGAGCGTTGAGCTATAGTGCTCGTCGGTCAGGTTGAACATTTAAAAGTGTGCAACACACCTGTTGAACACTTCCAACCATTCAAAAACTCGTGTTGCACACATAGAAGTATGCCACACGGTGTTAAACACCTAAAAGTGTGTGTCAGTTGCACACTTTATATATCAGTGTAGCGAGTGTGCCTGCTGGTGTCGGCTGCCTTTTCTTTTCGGCCCTCCGAAGTGTTCTGACGCGTTG